AAGATGGCGCTCTAATTTCTGCCGCCACGAGGATGCGACTCGTGGGAAGTGCTTGCCGCACAAGGGGCAGGTGCCACTCTCAAGGACAGCTCCCACTTGCTCCTGCGACGTCCCTCCACCCGCCTGCAATACAGGGCACACTTAACCTTCCGCTTCACCAGTGGCGCATTTCCATTACCACTTCTTACATAAAAAAGCTGCACAATCATTAAAATAATGTAAAAAATAAAAAGAAAAAAATACAATGAAAGACTCCTTCTTCAAGGAGTTTCTGCTGCACTTGAAGGCACGTAATCTGCAGGCATTTGCTCCCTATGCTTCCGTTTAATGTGGACTTCCAAATTCTGTTTCAAGTTAGCTCTGTGCGGACAGTGTGGGCACTGGAAAGGCTTTTCACCAGTGTGAGTGATCATATGTCGCTTTAACAGGAACTTGCGGTTGAATCCGTAGAAGGTCTTCCCACATGTTATGCACTCAACTGCAACAGACTGGGAAGAGGGGGTTGGCAGGAGTGGGCGGTGTGCCACAAGCCCGGACTGCCAAGACGCCACCCGCCCCTGAAACAACAACACCGCACGTCAGCCTCCATTCGTGTCGCTGGTTGCAACGTCCACTCTTATGCACAAGTTTTCTTAGCCTTTATAAAACTTAGCATAATAAATGAGTGAAAAAGAGGGAAATAAAAAAGAAAATGCCCTAACACTGTAGAGCAGCCCAAATAACATACACTCCTTCAACTCAAGAAGTTAGCATTCCCATGTGTCATACTCTGTATGTTCTGTGAAGGAGGTGAGAGGACAGGAGCACTGGGGGAGACTGCCTCATTTTCAACTCTCTTAATTAGATGGCCATGAAGGCCTTGTATGTGCTTCTTGAGGTTTCCCTTTAGCGAGGCCCGATAGGGGCAGAACGAGCAAGGGAAGGGACGCTCCCCAGTGTGGGAGAGGAGGTGACGCTGCAGATCTTGTCGGCGGTTGCGGCTGCTGAACGCCTTGCCACACACAGGGCACGTCAGCCCACGCCCCTCAAGCCCTTCACACCCGCCTGGGGCTATCACGCCTACCCTCACACCCTGCAACACACAACACAGCCCCGCTTAGTGTATCTGACTGCACTGTTGTATCTTTAACTTCTAATTCACAGAAGACCAAATTTTAGAAAACAACAAAGCAGATCACTGGAACCCATACTCAAGCCTCTGACAATAAATCTCAATCACATGATTTTGTTTGTCTTGTGGTCCCAGACAATAGGGGATCAAAATGTATATATGCATAAGAGAAAATATAACATACTGTCTGACAAATTTTATTCAGAACAAATCCTACAAAACATTTACTTGTCTTTCCTGGCTACGAGGCTACGAAAATTGACCCCTGCTGTAGCTGAACTTTGCGAGGTGGATGCCGACTGCGCTAAAGTGTACGTTGGGGTGAGGTTTGTGTGCAGCAACGGGGCAGCACGATGCACGGTGGCAATGTGCATGTTGAGATTGCATTTTTGATTAGTGCGATAAGGACAATGGGAACAGGCGTGAGGCTTCTCGCCAGTGTGGATGAGAAGGTGTCGGCGAAGCAGCTGGCGCTGGTTCTTGCCGCTGAACACCTTACCACAGACATGACAGGCAAGGCCGCTAGCCCTGCCTTGGGACACCCGGCCCACCTGCAACACAAGCACCTGCTTCAGACAAAGAGTCTACTAGCCCTTACAAGATACTAGCATTTGCCAACATGTTCTTTACACTTTCTTCACAAGTTTCAAGTTTAAACAATTCAAGCAAAATAATACTGTTAAAGAGGAATACATCGACTTCCCATTCAGCATCAAATGGTACATCCATTTTCATCTTTTCTTTAAGATTAAAAACTTATTTGTCCAAGCTAATACACTTCTATCTGTGCACATCTTGCATTAAAAAAATGTAGCTACTTTATAAAAAAAAAAAAAAAATCTAATTCACTTCAACCATTTGGACAATAAATGAACTCCCCATTTCAATTCATAAAATTACACTTGTTCCATACTGAACCTTGAAAGATACCAGGCAGGACAAATTTACTAAAAAATAAATCTTTGATACAAGTAAGAAAAATAAAGTTCTCATTTCATGCTTGAAATTATGTGGCACTAACTCATGTGACCAGATTTTCCAAAAAAGAAAACAAGACTAAATATGTAAGCTTGATTTATGAACTATGAAAGTTCCCTTGAATGACATTTAAATGCAATACCAAAAAAATCGGCTATTATTCTTATTCAGATCTCAAATTAAAATTGTGGATGGACTTTCTCTGAAAAGCAAGCCTCAAAATCATGCAAAGAAACAGAAAAGGTCTTTTTTGTAACACATCCAAATTGATTTCTGTTTGGGTTTCATAATGCGTTTTATACTGTTGTGTGGTGGTCATTTATAACTAACCTTTTTAAAGTTTGTGTAACATAAAACAGTAAAGGAAAACCAACTTCCCACTTTTATGTATGATCAATGAATTTATCTTTTATGCTTGGATTCTTCATAAATTAATGATAAACAAATTACTTGCTCCCACCTTAATACTCTCCTATTTTCAAGTTCTGAACTCAATTCAACTAATATCACAAACTGTCATTTTAAACTCAATATAACTTGTGGGTAAGTAAAAAAAACAAAGTTGATTTTTGGAATAACTAATATAATTCTCTACAATGGTTACATATACATTTGTACAGTATTACTCAATGAACATCAACTGGACATGAACAGTCATGAGCGAAAACTTTCAATGGTATGAAATCATTAAATTGTTTTTAAATCAACTTAAAAAGAAAAGACAAAACCTGCGTATGACAAAATATTCATACATAGTATTGGCCAACTTTGTGTAATCACTGAGCGTTGCCCGCACGGCCTAAATGCACTGCCGTTATGTGCACTTTCAGATTGCTCTTACGATTCGATTTGTGAGGACAGTATGGGCAGAAAAACGGCTTTTCACCTCTATGAATAGACATGTGCTGCTTCAAGTTCCGTTTCCGGTAATCGCCGTGGAATGCCGTGCCACATAACGGGCACTGGAGAATGCCGTCCCAAGGACTTTCCTTCTCACAGCCCTGCAAAGCACAACATGCCAGCTTAGTTGCCGAGAAACTTTTGGCAGACAGTAGAATAAGTTGGTGCGACTTTCTAATCTTTTCCAGCATGGCGGTGCTGCTGTGGGACTCTGTTCATTAGTTTATAAAATTCTTTAGAAAAATTTATTTCAGCAAGCAAAGCTGTCATGTTCTTCAGAGCTGGATGGATGGTTAATCCTTAATTCCATATTCATTATAGCAGAGTCATCATTCCCTTGCAAACCCACTTCCTCCCACTTGTCTCTGCCATGCCGAGTTATCACATGGCCTTTCAAGTTAACTTTCTGAGTCGCTCTGTGAGGGCAATAAGGACAGGCATAAGGCTTTTCTCCCGTGTGGGTTCGCATATGCCTTGCCAAGTTGAACTGCCGATTCTTCCCACCAAAAGCTCTGCCACAGACAGGACAAAGTTTAGCTGGTGATGATGAGGACTGTAGCGGAGGTGGTAGAGGGTGGGATGAGGGTTGATGATGGCCCAGTCCTGAGCTTCCTCTCATGGTGGAGGTCTTCCCCTGGAAAAAGCAATACCCTCACTAAGACTACCCCTTCTCTCATGACACCACCTACCACAATTCAGAGGTGATTGATAACTCTGCACCCAAATGGACTTGCAAACTTTTTATTAAAAAAAAAAAATAAGTATTTAAAGAAATAGTAATAATAATAAAAATAAAAGGAGTCCATAAAATTTATATTTCAAGATTTAACACCTGTCATATTTATGGCATTCCTGTGGAAGAGATTCCAGGGGGGGAGGGCCATTCCTCATGCCGTGCGCGGATATGCATCCTTAAGTTGTTTTTTTGATTAGCTCGATGTGAGCAGTAGGGACACTGGTAGGGCTTCTCCCCAGTGTGGAGGAGCATGTGGCGGTCCAGCTTCCACCGCCGACTGCGCCCCTGGAACCCTTTCCCGCACACTGGGCAGAGTATTACGTCACCATGGCTCCCAACATCCCCCTGCAAAATGGCACAATCTCAGTTCCCACACTTGCATTTCCCACACTTTCACATACATCTGCAGGTCTACTTGTCAAACTCTAAAGATTCTGCAGCACCGTCGACAGGCTCTTCCATTTTTTGTGGGCAAGCTTTCCTCTTTCTGGCAGATACATCCCAGCAAATGGTACTTGTTCATCCCATTCAAACAGGAGGCAGCTGAAGGGATGGGCTTTCATTTGTATCCCTCAGAACCTCTCCGTGTACTCTTAGGATATGCATATCCATGTTGCCTTTTCTGTTACTACTGTGAGAACAGTAAGGACAAGAGAAAGGCTTGATCCCAGTGTGGATCATCTGATGCTGCTGTAGGTTTTGTCTTCGGTTGCGCCCAGTAAAATTTTTGCCACACACTTCACACGTTAGCGGGGGGCCTCGCCACTCCTGCAACATAACAACATGCATCTTTCACTAGGAGTCTGTCCATTCCTTAGCTTGGCAATAAAGGAGATTTAAATCCACATACATTCCCTACATACATACAAGTTTAGACTTGAGCTGGTTGGTTTATGACTTCATCAGAGCCACCATGGATGTCTGCAAGCTGAGAATTCTGATTAGCCTCTTGGGCTAAAGCTGGATGTTGTGCATGGCGACGCAGGAGGTGAGTCTTGAGGTGCCACTTGTGGGCTGCCCGATGGGGACACAGTGGACAGGGATAGCGCCGCTCACCAGTGTGTGTGACAAGGTGGTGTTCTAGGTTCTGACGTCGATTGCGACCCTGGAACCGCTTGCCACACACTGGGCACAAGAGTCCAACAATAGGAGTTGGCCCTGCAACCTCAAAGGACTTATGCGAGTCACCCTGGCCCAAGTGCCCTTGGGGGCCGACCCTCACCCCAGTCAGCAACTCTCCTGCTGCCTGCAAGAAGGCGAATACATTCACTCAACCTGTCTATCGGGAATATGTGTACATCTACCCCTTAGATTCATTGCTTGAACCCAGAGGTATTGCAATCTTAAGTATAAAACATTGCATTTCCATACCTTATCTGTCTCCTAAACATTAATTACAGATTCCATACCCACTTTCCTTTTCCCATAACCCAAACACAGTGTCTAGCTGTCTTTTGTGTTTGCATCAAGAATTCTACTTGAGTTGAGATGTAACATGGTGATATGTCTGTAAAGCTGAGACTCTGAGGCAGCTCGGTAGGGGCAGTGTGGACAGGTGACAGGGCGATCCCGGCTGTGTGTGGCCATGTGGTGAACCATGTTCTGCTTACGATTGCGACCATAGCACTTTTTCCCACAAGCTGGACACTGAACAAAGAGACCCTCACTGACGGCGCCACCCACCGCCTGCAAAACACCAAAGCTTTGCCTCAACAACTTTTATCAATCATACTCCTCTTACGCTCTCCCAAAGGCGTAACAGTAGTAATAAACAAGCCATATTTTCAATAAAAATAGATTATCCTATTTCTAATTCTTTTAAGGCATCTTCAACATTACAACCACAAACCACTGAAATTCTCAGACTTCGTTACTTGAATAAAGCTTTAGTTCCATTCTCTTTTTGTAATCAATTTCTTTCTTTCATCTTTAAAGCTTTGGAAAGAGTGGCACAGCAAAAGGCCCCCTTCTCACTGACCCCTCTCATTTGTTTTTTGTTTTTTTCTTCTACACAAAATCAACAGTATCTGATCTTCACATGACACTATCTGGGTGAAGCGCTCTGATGTGGGTCTTGAGATTGCCTTTCCTGTTAGCCCGGTGTGGGCAGTGCGGACATTCGTAGGGCTTCTCGCCTGTGTGAGTAAGGAAGTGACGGTCCAAGTCGCGTATGCTGGAGAAGATACGGGTACACTGAGGACAAGGATGCTTTCTGGGTTGGGCCAATAGCTGGCGTGGGTTGGGTTGCCGACGTGTACTAGGGTGCCGCTGGGTAGTAGCCAACAGTCGCCGGGGGCTCATACCCAAGTGGAGGTGCACAGAAGACGTACCCTCCATTGACAACGCACCCTGCAATGACAACGCACCCTCCCTGAGTCAGCAGCCCACCTTTGAACACGCACAACTCCCATGACATTGTGAAACTAGTAACAAGAACCACATACCATAAAGGGTTTTACCATGTAATACCAACAGCCTTACTCAGAAACCAAAGACCACACTGCCATTATTCTTACACAAAAGAAAAAATAAATAAATAAAAAATAAAACAAAAGAATCCAAGTAGTACCAAGGTAGAAAGGGCTCACATAACAGACTTTCCATGAACAGTTATAATATGCACTTTCAAGTTTCCCTTGAGTGCTGCCCTGTGGGTGCAATAAGGGCAGAGATATGGCTTTTCCCCAGTATGAGTGAGTATGTGTCTTCTCAGATCCTTGGGGGACTGAAAGCTCTTGCCACAGTGGGTGCACAAGTGTTTCTTGCTGTGGGAACCCAAGATGATTCTCAGTCTACTGTCACTCATACTTTCCATTTCACGAACACCCATGCCCTGAAAAATATGGCAAGGTCTTACTCTTTCAGAAAAGCAAATGAAATTAAACAATTCCCTTTTAAATAAAAGAAACGATATCTATGGTGCCTTGACAAATGTTTTGTTGTTTTTTCTGGCCAGTAAATTCATTTTCAAATCTTTACCTCGAGGTCTGACACGCTCCTAGAACAACCGCAACCGCAACTTGCCAGATTCAGGAATCGTCTTTGTTATGAACACACAGCATATGAGACTTCAAGTTGCTCTTCTGATTAGCTCTGTGATTGCAGTATGGGCAGAGATAGGGCTTCTCCCCAGTGTGAGTCAGAATATGTCGCCGTAGATCCTTGGGCGACTGAAAGCCCTTGCCACAGAAGGGACACAAGTGTCGCTTGGGGTGGGTACTCACAACAGCTCTCAGTCTACTAAGACTCAAACTTCCCATTGCACCGACTTCATCTATCCCCATGCCCTGCAAAAATATGGCAACGTCTTACTCGTGGCACTCAGGTAAAAGCAAACATTATACGACTGCCATGTCTCTTACTCTTTACCACCACAACAATGATCTACACATGAGCTCACAAATCCTAACAACTTTGGCAAGCTGATTACGAAATCTCCTTCTCATGTACACAGAATATGTGCATCTTCAAGTTGCTCTTATGATTGGCTCTATGACTGCAAAACGGACACCCAAACGGCTTCTCCCCTGTGTGCGTCAGAATGTGTCGACGTAGGTCTTTTGGGTAAGCAAAACTCTTTCCACAATGTGGGCAAACGTTGCGTCTCCCTTGTGCCTTCCCTTCCGTTCTTGACCAGTTGTGATTTTCAATCCCCATTACACCGACCTGGCCCACCCCAACATCCTGAAAAATACAGTATCAGCTTACCCGTGATGCAAGTGTTCAAAAAGCAAATGTTCAGTTACCCAATCCCTCTCTATTGTGTTTATTGTTTATTTCATTCTAACTTTTAAAATGAGCAATGACATTTAAAATAATCTTGTAATCTACAATGTAGTTTCCATGATAAACTCTCTCCTAAGTAATTCATATCCCATTAAAAAGCACAAATACCTCTTAGGGTACAAATTCAAATGGTAGTTCTCACAATGGATTAAAAGATTCACATAATATTCTGCCACAAAGATACACCTGAATATGTTTGTGTTGTATTGATAGATGCATTTGTATACGGTAAAAAAAAAAAAAAAAAAAAAGTGTGCATGGGTGAATGCATTTGCAAATTTCCAATGTACATGTAATAACTTTGAATGGTAGGTGATGGATGATCAGTGCAGGTCTCGTGTTTAATGTTCAGTAGCACAAAGTGTATTTGGTAATGTTAGATATGCACCTTTATATTTGCTTCAGAAAAGCAGTATCTTACACATTTACCAATACAATTCATTATTTCTTTTGGTCAGCCATAATGACACCTTCAGGGTTACAACCCACCCAATGAATATCTCCACATAGTCTACTGATCAACCCAACCTGTAGGTGCATTTAGCCAAATAATGGGTAGCTCACTTCCTTGTTTTTTTCTTTCTCTCTTTTTTTTCTTTATTGGTCTTCACCAAATATTACCCTAATGATATTTTTCACATTCAGTTTTGAAACATTCCCCAAGCTCATTTGCAATGCTTTCAATGTAGCTCTTTCAAAACCCATACCTATTACTTTGCAGAGGAATATTTCAAGAAATGTAACTTGTAACATGCAATACAAAAGAATGTTTATGTCCAGTGATTTTTTTTAAGATCTTACAGCTTTGAAAATGAAAACCCAATTTAAGAACTTAGAAGGTATAAAGGTATTTCTGTCTGACCTACACTGGACACTAACATTTTTAACTATAGCTATAGAGATCAGTAACTACTTTTTTTTGGAATACATGAAATTTAAGAAGTGAAAGAATGATATGAGGCAACTGCCTTCAAATTTTCCAATTGCTATAAAATACAGTTCATTTATACATTTCACATGAAAAATTTGTTGACTACCCCTTTTAACAAATGCCCTTGCAAAGTCACACACATTCAACATTCAATCCAGGACTATAAGAAAATGCATAGCTGAAAATGAGTCTGATTTCCACATTCAATGCCATTAAGGAACATCCTATTCAGGTTAACTTTTTCAAAACTAGCAAGGCAAAAGTTGAATCATAATTTTCCCCTGACCATTACAAAACTATCAACCCTTAGGCTGTTATTAATCAATTGATGTATGTAGAACTAGAAACATTTTAAAATGCCCTAACGAAAGTGAGCACAGTAAATAAAAAGTAAACACTCATTGAAACTACCATACTCTGAAACATACCTACTTGTGCAAAAATATATGAACCTGTGAACATAGCTTCACTGTTTATCATTCACTCCCCCCCTCCCAAGATGCACTTGCCTGTGAGTGTGTGTAAATGTATAAATATAAAGAGGCTGTAGAGTATGCACATGTTGAGAAAAAAACATGATTCAGCATGAGTTAGAACAAGCGTAATAACTTCGTATAGCATACATTATACGAAGTTATACGATGAATACCATTTAAAGCAAAGATTATCAAAATTATCCACACCCCTAATGAAAAGACATCTGATTGCCTTACATAAAAAAATAAAAATAAATATATTTTTTTACAAAAAACATTCTTCAAAGTAAATGCAACACACTTAGTATTTATGGTCCCCCCCCTCCCAAGATGCACTTGCCTGTGAGTGTGTGTAAATGTATAAATATAAAGAGGCTGTAGAGTATGCACATGTTGAGAAAAAAACATGATTCAGCATGAGTTAGAACAAGAATGAAAAGGAAGGAGGGTGGGAATGTGATTGAGTGAGGGGGTGGAGAGAGGGAGAGAGGGGGTGGGGAGAGAGAGAGAGAGGGGGGGGAGAGAGAGAGAGAGAGGGAGAGGGAGAGGGAGAGTGGGAAAGAGGGAAAGAGAGTGAATGTGATTGGGTTAGTACATGTGGCATAGGTGGAGGCAAGACTGAGCAAGTGATTATCAGTAAGATTATCAATTAGCATTCATGATTTCTCGCGAGTAAGTGCACAAACACTTTGTGAAATGCTCGCCTATCTCCCTTCTTTTCCATTTGCGTCCGTAATAACTTCGTATAGCATACATTATACGAAGTTATACGAGAAGGAGGGTGGGAATGTGATAGAGTGAGGGGGTGGAGAGAGGGAGAGAGGGGGTGGAGAGAGAGAGAGAGAGAGAAAGAGAGCAAGAGAGAGAGAGAAAGAGAGCAAGAGAGAGAGAGAAAGAGAAAGAGAGAGAGAGAGAGAGGGGGTGGAGAGAGAGAGAGAGAGAGGGGGTGGAGAGAGAGAGAGAGAGGGAGGGAGAGGGAGAGAGGGAGGGAGAGAGAGAGGGAGGGAGAGGGAGAGAGGGAGAGAGGGAGGGGGAGAGGGAGAGAGGGAGGGAGAGGGAGAGAGGGAAAGAGGGAAAGAGAGTGAATGTGATTGGGAGAGTACATGTGGCATAGATGGAGGCAAGACTGAGCAAGTGATTATCAATAAGATTATCAATTAGCATTGATGATTTCTCGCGAGTAAGTGCACAAACACTTTGTGAAATGCTCGCCTATCTCCCTTCTTTTCCATTTGCGTCCAACAGTATTCAAGTCTGTCAAGTCAGAAGTATTTACTAGCCATACCACTTTCAACTTTTCACACAGCCATGCAATCAAACAATTCCATTTACCACACTAAACAAAAACCTTGTGATTGATAGTATCAATTTCTCCAGGAATATATGCAGAAAATACAATAGAGATAATTGGAAGGCAATGCATATAACTTCAATGGCAAACTGAATTACATTACTGATCCCTTTTAAAAGATGAAACCTCACCAGCCTGAATACTATATTATAAACAAAGTTTTATTCTACAGGTGTGATATATTGCTATTTTGAAGGTCTAATTGATACACTAGAGGCTGAACACAGCAAATCTCCTATCTGATCACTTACCCTCAAAACAATGGGGTTCTCTTCCTGTACCTTGGACTCCAGCTAGAGGACAGAGTAACAAGCCCAAAGTGAAGAAAATAAAGTGCCCCGCCTCCTCCCTCCCAACCCATTCACAAACTCCACTAAAGGATAAAGCTTTAAACCCAACTACCCTCTTCCCCCTTCTTCTAAGTCTTTAAAATTAAACTTAAACCAGTAATATAACATGACAAAGAAAAAAAATTAAACATGTGAAGACTATGGCAATCAATACTACAAATTTCCAGCCTCTAGTGTTCAAGAAGGTGAGGAACCATCTGCTCATAACCACATGAAAGGGATACATCTTATATAAGCAATTCCTGATGCAACCAACCAATTCTAAACAATATTTGCCAAGAGCTTTGACAATGAGAGGTTCTGAACTGTAAAACTAATTTTACTTCAATATTGTTGTAAAAGCAAAGAACATTAACCAAGTTATGAAAAGGAATAACCTTATATTCACTGCAATGCCAAACTGCCAAAGATGTATCCCTCATCAGGGTCATGGAAAAAATAACAGAAAAGACCAACACTTACCCCGGGTGCATTCTGTTGACTAGAACTGTCTGAGGTGCTAAAGTTAAGATGTGCAGGGAAGCCTATGGACGATCCATCACCCTGCCAGCCCGCCAGGTCTCCCTACACAAAACATTGCAAGACAAGTTACTACATATATAATGAGAAACTGATGAATTGATTATCAAAACAAAATCAAGGTCCTTGACTCTCAGGTACACTGGTAAAACCAAGACATTCTTATTCCATAGTCTAGTTTATGGGATGTCAAATAACTTACCGGCTGGTAGCCAGAGGGCCCGGCAAAGGAAGGGTGAGGGTACGAGGCTGTGCTACCAGCTAAGGCTCCAGTGGCTGCTGCTTGTAGGAACTCAGGTAAATCATTATTTACTCCACTTCCAGAATCGTCTCCTTCTTCCTTATAACCATCCGCACTGAGGTCGTAGGAGTCTCCAGGCATCTCGTTGGCACTTTCTTCCTCCATCTCTACTTTGACAAAGGAGGGAGTCTCTTCTGATCTAAATTGACTACTGGCTTGCGCTTGTGACGCTGTGGTGTGTGCGGAAGATTGTGCCGTAACATGAGACGAAGCAGGGTTTTCTGCTGGCGACGAGAGGGGACGGCTGACACGATCATCTGTAGCAGGGGATTCCTGAGAGGTTCTGTGGGGGGAAGGGCTCAGGCGCTGGGCAATAGGGCTCTTTGGTCTAGACGGAGGAGGAGGGGGGGTTTGTAAGCCACCACTGGCCTGCGGTCTTACATCTTCCCTGCCGTCTTCACCCTCATCTCTTCTTTTCCGCTTGGCAGGAGGGCTACCAATCCCTCCTTCTCTCCTCACCGGTTCAGCTCTGTTCGGTGCAGACGTCGCCGGAACTTTATTTGAAGGTTCATCATCAGGTACTGCGAGACCCTTGATGCGTAAATTTTCGGCAGCCTTTATCAAAGACGCTAAGTCACTTTGCCTTACATTCACTTCACCAAGGTACATATAGTCTAGCAAGGCCTCAAGGTCCTCACACTTAATATCTTTTAACACTATAACAGGGCTTTTACAAGCAGTCTTCTCAAACATGGCACAGAAATAGTCACTACATGTTGACAACACCAGCTTATGCACACTGTAGAACTTGCCATCACAAGCCAGAGTCACATCCGTGTACGATTGCTGAAAAATTGTAAATTTCAAGTTAAAAGGACACTCATGAACAAGTGGATGACAAATCAAGATAAGTTACATAAATTAAAACAAACACTAATACATGATCAATGGCATAAAATCCTAATTACATACCTTGTCCCTGAGAACTCCCAAAATGTGGAGGAAAGTGGAACGGTGGTTGTTCCACTTCAATGAAAGTAACTCCTCCATGCTTTCTGAAATTAAAACAGAATATTGTAAAATCCAAACATGAACACTAGAAATCCACTAATATTTGATATAAATAATTATTCAAAATAGGTGATCAAGTTTTCACACATTATATTTTCTGAGCAACACTACATTTTTGTTCCGAGTTTGAGGTGTTCACTCAAAACTTAAGAGCCAACTTGAATCTATTCTTTTGGGTTTGAATATCATTTCCCTAACACTTTCCAACTTATCACATTAAGAGAAATGCAACAATTCAGCCACAAAATATGCACCTGGGGAATATTCTATCATGACAAACTGATCTCTCAACTTGATAAGAGACAGCACATTTCCCTTGCCTCACTGTACTAAGCCATACTGGTGTCAGTCAAATGGTTCTAATTATGGTTCAGATTTAGTATTTATGAGAGCAGAATTTTCATATGAGGTATGCAATTATAGTTTCATAAATGTAAAGGGTATTGAGAGGAATCACTTCAGATCTGCAGTGGATATTAAGTGAACACCCAAATATTGGAGCAAATACCCTGCTTGAGTGCACATTCAGTGCAAGTTGGTAATAACTGCAAATATTAATGCCATGCAGAAAACCTGACCATTCATCCATAAAGCTATTGTTTACAAAATCTCTCATCTACTTAGAGGACCATCCTATTGCACTGCTGCTAAATGCCTAACACCTGGTATTTTATGCTAAGGTAGTTAGATCTCTATTTGAGAGAGGAATTCGTAAGATAATTTTTACCAAGTTAAATCCAAGCTAGCCCCAAGGTTTCTCATCCAATTCTTCCCACTTAAAATCAAACAATGGCCTAACATCATTTCAAAAGGCAAAACATATTTCAGGCTGCTCTATGGAAAAAAACATTAGGAAAAAAATACAGCATAGTAACAAAAATCAGAAGCCAGGGAAACAAATCTTCCGAAGTCTACACTCTTGGTGGAGGCATAAATAAGGCCTCCATAATGAGGCTAAAATTAGGCAAACTCTTCTATTGAAGGGTTATTTTCCCTCAGTGGCTCCTCAATGGGCCAAAAAAGTGAACAACTGTTCAATGGGCATGACACACTGGGACATCTTTCCAGTGAGAATCAGTCTTTTAATGACATGATAGACATTCATTATGAGTGGGTTCAGAAATTATGCAATTGCTCTAACTCTTCCCAGTCTTGGTAAACCACAAATTTTGTCCATTGCAACTTGTAGAAGATGCTACTGAATTAGAAATATGCAATGACAACATTTTTCTTACTGCAACTTGACACTGTATCTTCAATCTTTATACTATCATTTACTGAAATCATAATTCTTATGAATTACGCACCCCCCAAAGTCCATGGAATGGTTGATGGGGGGCTCTACTCGCAACACCCCCAGGGAAACCGTTTTCATCTAGGTATACATGGCAAGGTAGAGCTGAAACTTGGGAGCGCCAAGTGGACAGGCTGAGAGTGGAACCTTCCGCAATCTTTTCCACTATTTGAGGCGTTACTGATCATGTCTGCAAATTATTTCTTGTACCGACAACTGCAAATTTTTTTGTCCTCTACGAGAATATCACCTCCAACTTCCCCAACCTAGGTGCGTCCATACCATAACGATTAACCTGGATTACTTGATTCCAAAAATGCTTTCCTTTAAGTAGTGCATGTCCCTCAGAAGATACACTATCTGTCTCTAATAACAGACTGACAAACCTAATTTGCTCAATCTGAGAGTTTACCATAATCTATACCATATGCCCTACATTCTAGGGTCCAAACCTAATTGGCACCATGTGAACCCATCACCTCAGCCTCTGCGCATTAATTACCCTTTGCAAACGAAAATGAACCTCAATCACCTTTACTCTAGCAGGAGAGCTCGGTTTAGTTCCCTATTTGACAGTAGTCAACAGCTTTCTTTACACAATACATGTGATGGGCAGTTTGACATCAAGAATTCAGAGGGCATTCCAATGAGCAAAATCAATGACATTTTCAAAATCTAAACCTTTCCCGTGGCTTCTTTGTATCCCCGAAGCCTAACTACTGCTACCAGATCTAAAACCTAAATTTGCAAACCACAGGAACTAATCAGTACATCAATCCATACTCCCTATCTAACCATCCTAAAATTGGCAGTTCCCAAGACTTATATGGGCAACACTACACAAATTTTATATCAATACTGCTTAAACTATTTCTATAAATTATAAATAGTTACATGAATCATAAATATTCAAGTTAAATATATCCATTTATAAATATTTGGTACATTATCCACACTTAAATACATGTATATGTAATTATATAAATATGTATAGTTAGATGGATATATTATGAATATATATTTCATCTACATTTTTTATGATTTTTTTTTATATATATACTAATATACACACTTTGTACATATATATGATTATATATATATATATAGATATATATAGATATATAATTATGTATTTCTCTCTCTCTCTCTCTTCTCTCTCTCTTCTCTCTCTCTCTCTCTCTCTCTCTCTCTCTCTCTCTCTCTCTCTCTCTCTC